ATTTGTATTACTTTTTCCCATACGTTTGACTTTTATATTAATAATGTTAGCGCTTTTGATAATAAAATTTAAAAACTTAAAACAAATTCATTTACCCTATTCATATAATTTTAATTTTTCAATGATAAAATTGCCCTAGGACTTTCATTCTTGTATTATGTTTTAATCATAATTGTATTGTATTTTATTATTAATATAGTTACAGTAATTATAAATATTTTAGCTATTACATTTGGTTAAAGTTATAGCCCCAAGCATATAGACTAGCCAAAAATAGCTATATAAATTTTATATATAAATTTTAATATTTATTATTGTAATTTTTATTAATAAATATCATTTATTAAAACTATATTAATAATAATTATTGCATGCACTATACATAATAAAAATATCATTACTTACAGGTAATAATATTTTATCGTAATTTTAAGTACAGTACAATAAATTGTTATTGTATTTATATCAAAAATTTTATATTATTTCTATCATTAAATGAAATAAAAAGTAATTTACAATACGTGCGTAAAATAATGATTATTTTTAGCACTCATACATTGATTTATCGCAAGTTTTGATTTAAGTAATCAATATTTAATAGCTTATATACTCTAAAGATTAACATTATATTAAAATAATACATAAATACGTTAAATATTGTACTTACAGATAGACTCAAATATTTTTCTCAAAAGTATTTTACTAATGATTTTTTTGTGAAATATCCAAAATCCATTTACAAAGTCAGCGAAAAATCCATTTACAAAAAAAACTACAAAATATAACATTGTTTTTGATACAAAAATATTTATATATCACTATACAAAGTATATTATATTATAAAACTTTAAAATATAATCAGTAAATTGTATAAAACTGCTTTCACAATACAAATAAATTTAATCAACATGCTTGCAATAAATTTTAAAATTAAATATTTATACAGGTATATATAAACACACAAAATTATTTATAACAGTAATCAAGTCAAATTAAAAGTTGCAATGTAACCGGATAACATCATTAATCTGTATTAAAAACACTTACCTAATAGTCATTACGATGTATACTAATGAGACAATTAAGCCATGCTGCGATAAATTATTAAAATAAATTATAGCATTAAATATTAAAACTACTAAATCACACTAGCACGGTTAATGATTATTACCTGATCAACAGGGTAATTAAATACTGCTTGAAAATAGGCTGGTAATTTTAGCACTAGCATAATCTAGATCCAATTCATGGCAAATTTGGTGATAATAATGGCAATCATTGGTATTGATGTGAATATCTTAAGCCATGGGACAGACTCTTTAGACATACTCTTAGGCTTATTATCAGTATTTGCGGCGATATTTGACTGAATATAGTGTAGTTCCTTAGGGGATATCCAGGGATGATCCCGGAGCTCGCTTTTCATAAATATAATCCTTACGATTAGCTATAGAGTGGCTATTATTGTTACTAAAAATTATTTTTGTGCTAGTTAATTAATATTTTTATTTAAAAATTATTTATTCATTATAAATAACTTAGACATAGAAAATGGAGGGCCATTACCGGCAGACCTGTGTTGAGCTAAATAGCCAGATAAATCTGTCGTGGCTATGGACCCAATGTTTGCAGCGATAGTAGGAAACGCCAGAAAAGTACTTAAAATACAAAAATAAAAACTATTATTAAATAAACTTTCAGCAAATATACAGAATATTCTGTAAAATAATACCTTATATTAGAGAACAAGGCTTAAGTGTAAGGGAATATAAAACTGAAACACACCGAACAGTACACCACTGGCCACTAGTAGCCAATAATTGCCTGACCTTGCTACCATCGGGGTGAGCGCATTCACCACAATAGACACAGCTATACCCTCGCTAATATAAATGTATGCTAAATTATAAATAACATTTATTTAGTCGTAAATCATTATTATTATTATAATAGTCTATTAGTAATAGATTTTTTGTATTAACAACATACTTTATATTTATAAAATATGAATCTACAAAAATTCAACAGGTACTTTCAAACTCAAATTACTAATCTAATCATGTGCCAGACCAAATAGTAATGCTAATTAAAATTGAATTAAATATAAACTTTTATATATTAACTGTACAGGTGGTAAATGTACAGTATTTTATACACTATTATCTCATGTGTATTGAAAACCACTGAATAGTTAGTGAATCAATACATTAAGGACTTTGCGGACACCTGTCCCTTACTTTCTAATCATTTCCCTAATTATTAATTAATGATAAAAACAATAAAAATAATTCACGTATAGCTTGACAATAAATTATTGATTTACAAAATATGTTTTTATTTAAGTTTAAAAACATTTCAACATTTCATGTAAAAACTTATTATATATTTTCCCTTGAATAAACATCATTTATTTTATATATTCGCAGTGTATCATTATTTATAATATAAAAATCACATTACCGTATTATTAAATGAATTCATACAGATATATGATTTCATAAAATGAATCAATATTTTACAAATTGAATATACATATATATATACTAGCATTTATCATTTTTAAAATAAAATACACGTTAAACAGTAGCTGTGTGTATATATATGCCCTAATTTCGAAATGTCACCGGGTTCAACTATATTAAAACTACAATGTAAATATAAAATTGTGTTTGTATAAAAAACAATACATTTTAGTTTCCGATAAGTCTAGCAAACAAGTCGTTTATTATATGAAAACTTTTGAGCGTATATTTTATTTACCCATGAATTTGTGTGTATATATAATATTTATATAATACTGTAGAAAGCATATTTTATATACATATACCTGCACATATAATATCTAATAAATAATTTAATATGTACATTATTTGGTTAATTACTTTTTTTACTTTTTTAATTACTTCACGCACATTTATAATATATAAAATTGCACTTACACAATCTAATTAAATATTTATTAAATCAAGTTATTGTGTAACTAATCGCTTTAATATAATGCCGTAATTAAAATTACCTAGTCGAGCATAATGCGTAACTACAATATTATATATATTTGATAGCTATAAATATTTAACCACCTACGCTAAATATATAAATACTGAGCATTAATATAAAAATATATGGGCAAATAATTATTACATAACATATTGGATCATGTTAATAATTTGTGACAATTTATTTTATTTCATACCACAAACATTAATCAAATAAGGATCCTAATGAATTAAAAATTAATAATCAATTCTGCGTTTGCTTTCGTGTGTAAACACATAGCACTACCAGCGCTCAGCCCCCTATCCAATGTTATGTTATATGAGAGAGTTATGGGTAGGTATGACACTAGTGACAGGTAAGGGGCTATAGATTGCAATCCCTGTCCAATTCAGACTACTGAGACGCCGTCGACACAATAGTTGAGTGCTCTCTCTCTCTCTCTCTCTCTCTCTCTCTCTCTCACCCTCTCTGAGTGTATAAATAAATAATTGAATAACAAATAACAACAAAAACTACACAAACGATGTATACTACCTGTAATGACGGTACGTTTCTCTCTCTCTCTCTCTCTCTCTCTCTCTCCACTCGCGCTCTCTCTCTATCCCCGATTGCTAGTCATCCCTAACCATAGCTACCAGCGATGGCCGGGTGGCGAGTCTGTGCACAAGTACTTCCCATACATACTCTACTCGCGCGAGGAGTCCATAGACAGAGTGTAAACACCTCTCGAAGTCGAGGATCAATAATATGATGGCTTTCCAGTTGCGATATAGCCTTACATTACATTTATTACATCACATCCAATGCTTAAACAGCCACTACTAGTCCGCGACTGCAAAAATATATATATATAACATTATATATATATATATACATACATACAGTATATATATATTTGCTATCATTATATTCATGTCGTCAAAACAATTGCCATCATACATAGCGTATATTTTTTAATCCATTCGCGTATTGTTTGTACTCGCTGATCATTAAGCCGTGCTACATTTTTGTTTTGTTTGTTATTGTTTTTTCGTATTATTGAAATATTGTGTGCTGGCTGGCTATATATATGATAGCTCAGACATAAATCATTTGCTATTTGCGAGATATTCTCTCTCTCTCTCTCTCACCCTCTCTGAGTGTATAAATAAATAATTGAATAACAAATAACAACAAAAACTACACAAACGATGTATACTACCTGTAATGACGGTACGTTTCGGTGCAAAAGCAACAAAACACTGTGTAATCACTTGTATCCACTCAATCCGACTCGACGTTAACTACAACTCATTACTCCGTTTATGAGCCTCTCGTATACAACATATATATTACAGAATATTCTGTGTCTATGTCTATGTGAGTGTGTATTATAACAAATAATAATAATAATAATAACCATTTGCTTCCAGAATAACATACAGTTTCTTAATATATATATATTGTATATCAGCACCCGATTCGTATACATATACACACACATCATTGTAACCTCATCACCAGGATCGTGGTAATATTAAATGTATAATTAATATTTACAGAATATATGTACAGAATTTACAAATGAATTTCTAAACACAAGCCAAACATCAAAATATATATTCATTTTCAGTACGATTAATGAAAACAAAATAATTTTTACGATATATTCACCGTGTGTTATATAACTACTCGCGTATCATATCATTTGGCATTTGTTAACTACATTTTTTTGGATAATATTTATAATAATTATAATATCGCTAAACAATAAGCCAGTAAATAATTTGCTAATAAAAATCGCGACAAGAACATTTAATAATAAAAACATTTATTATATACTAATAATAAAAGTAACAACAATAATTTTCATCAAGACTATTTGTTATTAATACAAAACACTATACTAATAATTATTACTAACAAAAAAAATACATTTAATTCCTACTAATAAAACACAAGTAGGGTCTCCCCTAATATAAACCCCCTGAAGTGGACGACCACCCGTTCCCCTCGCACCAGCCATGGCTTACTGCGCGGTATACCTGAACCGTATATCCCGGGAGAAAAATTGTCCCGAAAAACCGGAGGACCCCCTGATCCTGGAGAAGGAGATACCCCACGACGCCCGGTTCACTTACGTCGACTTCGTGCCCTCCGTCCACCAATTCTCCGGCAATAGCCAAGTGGAGTACCACTCGTTTCGGTAGGTGCACCCCCTCACTATTCATATACCACACCCTGGTGCTCGCTATTTATTTTATTTATATATGTACACTGGTGTTAAAATTAGAAATTTATAGTAGGTGTGTAGATTTATTGTAGCTAGTTTATCTAGTTTTGAATATAAGTAGTTACATAAATTAAATGACACTAATTATATAAATTAGTTTGATTATTGTTTAATATTGTGTGCTTGGTACAGTAGTAGATTTATATGATTAAGGAGGTTTAATATTAATATATATAAATATATATATATATATTCTGTTAATCCCAATTTTTATAACCTTACATATACTTAATTAAATAATATAATTATATTATACTCACCCATAATGAGATTAGTTCTGTATTTATATTACGATATTTGTCAATCTGATAGCTGATTTATATTATTTCTAACATCTATAAATGTCAACAGTAATTGATTTTAATATTTATAAAGTGGATAATATATTTATTTATTCGCACTTTTTATTTGTAATATATATATTTCAAGTACAATATTAATCCACGCTATTGGTACTTGAATTACATAGGACTGGCATTACATAAATGCAGCATGCTTGAAAAGGCTAAAAATAGCCCAAAAAACACTCTAAAATGATTTAATTTGTGTTTACACATGAAATGAATTTTAAAATTAACCTACATATTTAATAGCACTTCAGTTATATAACCTTTATATGCTAGTAGTTTACACATTGCGAGCTACATAATACGATAATTGAATAAATATTGACGGCGTTTAAATTTCTATTACGATTGACTACTAGTGTGTAAACATTAAAAATATAATAGCTATTTATTTGCCACGCTAAATAATTTAAACTGAAATCTATTTTAAACTAGCACACTTAGGCCGTATTAAAAACATTGGACTTAAAATTTAGATTAATTATCCTAAATATAAATTTATATATATTTATATATAGAGTATGTATCATAAATATTTAAAATTCACAGAATATTCTGTGTATCATTAGATATTATTTTATTTTTTACATGCGATATTTATACATCGTATATAATACACATAGCAATTACCGTAATTATAAATACGATAAATAACATGACATTTTTGCCTACACACTATTTGTGCTAGCACTAATTGTGCAAACATTCAAATACTGTACATATTCACTAGACATACGAGACATGAATAGCTAATAAATCACACACAAAAAAATGATTTAATATTTCAATTAAACAATTGCTATAATACTATACTAATCTACTCTGCCTTTCCACCCCTACCCCCACCCCCGACACCGACACACACACGCCGTTTGACGGATAGCTTTCTGGTCGATACGTGTAACGCGTGGCTCAAACGTAACCCAATCTGGGAGGTCATCAACTGCGAGACTGTGAAACTGTCGTACCGGCACAACCTGACCACCATGGTCAGTCGGTGGGAGGTGCAAACAAATCCGGCCACCAATCCATGGGTCACGCCTACCAGGGGCGATTTCGAGACCTCGCTCAAAGTGTTAAGGTTAGTATACGCGGCTAGATGTATTTATGTAAAAATGTACATGTACCATATTATATAGAAATTATTATGCACGTATACATATTTATATGATATTGAATAAGCTAGAGATTTAATAATGCAGGCTTATCAGATAATAAATATTATTTAATTATATTAAAATTATAGTAATTCTCTTAAGGTAACTAGGATCAATGTTATCCCTTTAGAAATTAAAATATATTGCATTTATATATATACAGAATAGAAAAAGTTTGAAAATATAAATATAATTCTCAGAATTAACGAGATAATATACTATAAATAAAATATAAATAATATAATATCAGTAAATACTTATTAATCAAGAAATTCCTACTTGTTTTCAAGAAAATAACTAAGCTAGCATAAAATTCTCAGAAATAAAATCAGCCTGTTGCCCTTAGCAACAAATATTATTTTTATCCTACAGCACCTACCTACCTCCCGCCCACCCATGCTCCTAGCACACGCACCTTTCTGTGTATGACCCACATACTTTTTGGCGTATAAAAATACAATTTGGCGCCTTTAATGTCAATAATGTGCGACAAAAACAACGGTGCGTTTGGAAAGGGAAAGCAAACGCTAATAAAATAGCAAACGAGAGATAATTAATACAAAATATCAAACAGTCGTTTGTTTTGACAACAAAAAACCTGTGGATATAAATGTTGAGAACAACTGAGAGATAAACGACTGTTTTCTGTGTGTCTGTGTGCGAGAGAGAGAGAGAGAGAGAGAGTACAGTGGAAATGGATGGATCGATAGGAATGGCAGATATAGCAGTCTTTCCCTAACACTTCAAACCACATTAATTCTAATACTATATAACATTTAGATGTGACTTAACTATACATCTCTCTCTCTCTCTCTCTCTCGTAATGTTCAGTGAGACTGAATGGACTCGCAGTATATCACATATAAATCTTGGACTATATATCCTATTATACTGTATATATAGTGACGACTGAATACTTATATAATACCAGGTCTTGAGTCTAATTCCTTAATTCTTTAGCGAATGTACGGTTGAATGAATGGGTGAATAGTTTTCTATACATGTATATACAGTATGTGTGTGTGTGCCAGAAAAAAGTAATAAAGGTCAAATATCTACCTAATGCTCAACCTTTTAGCGAAATAACATAAAGTCTATTTTTAGCATCACCATTCGCTAGGCATATATATACTGTACAGTCAACCTGAATACCTAAATACCCTTTTTTCTACAACCTCTCACAATATGTCAAATTTGATTTGTGCGCAAAATTTATAGCGGATTTTATTTGATGTCGATTCAGCGATTTTGTCACAGATTTGAGATCAAGTTTTTTGTTTTAGTATTTTTTTCACATCCATTGCCATAAACGATAATTTTGGCCTAAAAGGTGCAGTTTATATACGTTTACGGCAATCAACTTCAATAAAAGTCTATAAGTAGCCAATTTATATACGAGCATATTTTAGTGGGTAGCAAATATAATGCAACAAGTTTATTTTGTATAGTGCCAGATATTTTTGTGCTTGCGTAAGCTATTTGGTATTATGTAGGCACAATTAATATGTAAAATTATTTTCGCTTAGTTTTAAAAAAAAGTTTATATAAGAAGCTTATATTGAAATTCAGAAAATAATAATCTTTTTTTTTAATTGACCCTTCACTACATCCGTTGCCATTAGTAACCAAGCTATTCAGTTATATAGATTTAATATTTTTGCTATATTTTATAAGCCCACTTATCTAAATTTATTAATTGTATGTAGCCTTATGTTTTACGTAAAATATAAAGCCTTAAAAAATGTTACTTTATTTTACGACCAATAAAAATATGAGTTTTTTATACTTAAACCCTCTAATGCCACATAAAAATAATTTTATTTATATATGGTATATACACATAGTATATACACTCAGCACTCAATAATATCCTGGATAACAATAAGCTACACAAACACTGTAACCTTAAGTACCAACACACACACATACACACATATCCGGCTCAAAATACAAACAAAATAAAACACTTATACATAACAAAAAAAAATTATAACAAAAAAACTTGTCGTAAACCCCTTAGGGTTTGGATCAAACGGCGCGAAGAGATACGCGTGAAGGACCCTGAGTCGGACGTACCGGTGCTCAACTACATGGACTTCGAGCCCCTCCGGAAAGAGGGCAACTTCGAGAACCTGGACGACGTGGTCGCCCGGATTAACGCCAAGATCCGCGCCCAGGGGTTCGACGGCCGACGGCTAATCACCATCGAGTCGCTCAACGTCGAGGCCAATGCCGACTGGAAAATAGACCCCGAGCTCAGCGTGGTCGAGGAGTCGTCCAGGCACGTGACCATTATCAGGCTCTTTTACGAGCAAGGTGATTGCCTGGAGGAGGAGATAGGCATCGCCGACTTCACGCCCCATCACCTGTCGGGCGGAAGTCTGTTCAAAAGGCCGCACTTCGAGCAGTTCTCGTCGATTATCGATAGGGCCTCCCAGTGGTTGTCCGACAATCCGGAGATTAATTTCCTCAACGCACAGTCCATTGACATTAAACTCAAATCGCGTATGTATTATATAAGCTTGGTTATCGTGCCCGGCTCATTTTCTCGCAGAGTGTATTCAATAAGCATGTACGCGTTTATGCCATTTATCGTAATAGGAGCTAGCTTTTTTTAGTTGCTAATTCCGCATTTACATTTATTTGTGAAACTATGTAAGGACCTAGTACTAATTATATTTTTGCTTTATTCTACATTACTGTACTAGCAAATAGTGGATTTATATATATTATTAAATCTAGAAGCTATTCATTAAATATAGCCATTAACATTTATATATTGCGCACGTACTTATTGAATGAACCCCCCACCTCCCCCGTATATTATTGGTGCGAAGTGTAGAGCTAGTTTATAACCACAAATGACATCTAGGCGTATTAGCTAATATTGTATCGTGTCACTTCGCCACGCACGCAAACACAGTGACCAAGGTGGACACGAGGGCCTGTTCGCACACGGAGCATGGCGACTACGTGCACATACTCCGGGTGGCCTACACCAAGCCGTTCGAGCCGGAAGTGGAGCACACGGGCGGACCGCCCCCGCCCGCACCCATATACCTGTCGTCCAAAGTGTTTCTGGTGACCAAAAACGACGTGTTGGACGACATTCATCACCGGATTAATAACTGGATCAAAGAGGCCTCGCAGGTATGATGACCATGCTAATTGTTTGATGTATAAATTTTGTAAGGTTTAACTAGCATTTTAAATTCGTTTACATTGTATATTTTGATGAATGTGAAAATTAATGTACGTACGTGAAATATTTAGTGGTAAATGTGGACTTGTGTAGATTTATGGTAGACTAGTTGTTGTTAAAATTAGTTTTTTAAATATAAATATAAGTTATATCTAATATTAGAATATTTTTAATAATTATATTTTAGAGGTTGTAAATATTTAAATACTAACATAATTATTATATTTACATGCTAATTAGTGAATTATAAAATTTTATTTAATAAGCTAAATTAGAGCAAGGTAGCGCAAATTTAATCTATATAGATAATTTTATAATACTTAGGACATTACAATTGTAATTGTTTAAGATAAAAAAAATTAGTAATCAATCCGCATTAGAGAATGTAGATAATTTTAACATGCTAATTTAACCTAGCCACTTACAAAAAAACAGAATAATTATATATCGTGTACATATTTGTTTACATAGATACAACGCCGGCGAAACTCGCATGTCAATACTGTATTAACCCATACAAAACCAATTGGTAGTAGTCTAACATGTCTAACACGTGGTACCCCATTCCCCCAACAGGTGGAGGAGCGGTTCAAGTCGCGCCTCCTGTCGGCCGAGACGGTGGAGGTGTTCGCCAAAGACGAGCACAATCTGGAGAAGGCGTTGGAGCAGACGTTTCAATGCAATCGCTTGGGATCCATGAATACGTTCGCCTTCAGCGCCATTCGTGTCTACTTTGACGTCGGTTTCTACGGCCGCCAGAACCGGAGTATGTCTACGATGCCCGCCATCAACACCGGCACTACGTCAGGGGGTGGCGCCACCGGCGGATTGGCGTTCGCGCCCATAGGCGGCGCTGATGACAGCCCCACGAGTCCGAAGCCCGACTTCCGGAGTCGGTCCACGTCGTGCGCCTGTATGTGAGGGAGTGGGGCGCCCCCTGGTATGTATCTCAGTATACTTACCCTAGTAGGTTTTACCTACACTCATATACCTGATACAGTGTTTCTTAACGATCGTTTCCATTTGCATTACAAGTCGCCACTCATTATATATATTATATAATATTGTAATGATTTATATATAAAAAATTGTTAACAGTTTTTGTAATTATAAGTAATATTAAATGTGTCGAGAAAAACAGGCCTAATGAATACGTTGTGAACTACAGTAATATTATCATTATTAATATTAATTGTTAGTTATTTGTTGGGTTTAGCTTGTTACAATTTTTAGTATGTTGTAAAGTGCGTTAAGATAATACCATGCGCTATTTGTTTAGTATTTGAATATGTTTAGTAATTTATTCATAAATGTTTAATTACATAAATTTATTATTATTAAAAACTACTAATATTGCTTATATAAGTTAGTTTAACTCAGAATATATTTACGTACCACTTACCAGGTTAATTATTATTATTATTATCGAAAAGTGGATTATATTTAAATTAGTTTCTAATTAACTGTCGTTTAGGTTAGTATGCGGTCTGTCGTAGGCTATTGTGCGCGGAATTTGCATACATTTCATATGAATGTATGCTTTAATTCACGGTACAGTCAGCCCTAAAAACACTAACAAATAGTCAAACTATTAGCCAAACAAAGTGGTCGAGTATTTCGAGACAAAACATGAGATTATCATTAATTAAATGGTATAATAGAGTCGCGATTATAAGAAAAAACTCATTAAACATCTCTCTCATAGCGTTACATGTGTTTCGTGTTTTAGATTATTTTGTATACGAGTCATGTTTTTCAATATTATATATATATATATATACACACACACACACACATACACCACAAAAGTTACATTGATACAAAAATACATTTTAAAAATTATCAATAACATTAAAACTATACAGTATATATATAGCGTACCTTGAGTACCAAAGTGTGGCAACCATATCTAAACTACACAGATATTTCTATAATAATAATAATAATTGAAAGTTTAATATTGATACATTTATTATGATAAAAAAGTCTTTTCCATTTTTACTCTCATATAACAAAATACAATATCATTCATCAAATTATTATAATATTTCAAACTTTTTTTTGTGCGGGGGTCAGTTACTAAACGCCACATAATCGCATAATCGCTACAATATTATGTGAATGCATAACGGGTCCCATAATTATTTGCATTGAGATAACGTGCTATAACAGGGGACAGGGGTTTATGGACTATAACAATATCTAACATGAAATCAATAGTAAAAATAATAAAATGATAGTGAAGTGCAAATTTGGCCAAATTTTAACTCATATTTTGACAATATTTTTGAGCATTTATTTCCCTGAATACGTATGAATTATTTAGACAAAAAGGACATGTCTTATTTCGGAAATAAAATATTTGATACTAAAGTGGTTGAAACAATAACATAATAATAATAATAATGAACATGATAAATGTTGGCCTCAATACAGTATATATATCTATAAATAGAGTAAAATTAGTTTTTTAAGATAAACCAAATTCATCGTGCTACATAATAATTTTTCATACTTAATACAAAACACTCACGCCAATTTGTAATTATTACAAATTAATAGTATGTTAATTGAGTAGGCTACTGTATAAGTTTGTGTGTAGATATAAATCATGTGTACGCACTAAGTGTATAAGCCCTTATTTAATTTGTTTTTCACTATATTCAGGCTAAACTAAAAATTAATTATTTTTTCATTTATAACAAATGCTTCAAATATCAGATAAAGTAATGTGTCTAGCTGCAATACATGCATTGATAATAAAATTGATCAATAACATAATTTTTCACGCTAGCTCGTCAATGTTATATATATATATAATAAATGTGATATCTATTAAATTCATAAAAATTACATTTTTATTTAATACATACAACACCTTAGCATTTAGGGTATAACGCTATGCTATAGTTTGTCAATCAGTTCGCTCGACACATACAATACAAACACACAAAATATGACACATTTTTGCGGTTTATGTCTATTTATGTAATCGTTTGCACGCTTTTGTATTAATTATTGACGAGTTTTTTTGAGGCAATACTTCACACATGAAACAACAGTCTAACAGTCTATGAGATGGCAAATAAATGTATTAATAAATATACATTATATACAATAATATATTAATGATAAGTCTATAAAATTGATGGCCATTTATAAATTTGAAATTTTTTGCTTTTGTGATTTAGCTTATTTGAATGCTATATTTGTGTTCATACATTCATTTTATCGATTCATACAATGAGTCTCTGTTTTTATTATATATTAAATATTTAAATAAGGATTTTATCGTTTAGTCTAAAGCATACGGTATAATACATGCGACACGTAATTAATACGTGTATTAGGCGTCAGTTATGTCGTGTAAACAGTTATTTAATCACATTACAATACCTTAAGACTATATTTGATCTGTGCTAGTTTATTTAAGGATAAATGAGTACAATTATATATTACTGGCTGAATGTTTAGTTTAAAAGTAAGATTATTTTTAGATTAATTTATGTAAGAGATATATATCTAATAGCCATACAATATAAAAGGTAAAGACTCGTAGACACATACGGTATAAACATGATCATGCTAATGCAAATATCAGTGGACTAGTTATAGTGGTGCATGTGTTTTGTTTACTTATTAAGAACTTGGTTTATTTGTTATGACAGGGAAAATTTAAATACCAATTTCAGTTTGAATAAATAAAATACAAAAATATCAAAATTAATGCTAATTTATTGCAAACTATCACAAACTTGTAGTGCTATGCACTGAAGTACTATTTCGGGGGTCAATGTGATTGCATATATTAAATTGGTTTGCAATACTTTATTATAATTTAAAATGATCAAGTAAACATAAAATTATCCTCAAATATCTTATAACCTAGGATATTTATACACACACGAACAAATAAGCTATAGTTAAAATGTGGTTTAAATGTTCACTGTTAACTCATTATAATTTTATGTGGTTTAATTTAATACGATGAGCGTGTTTATTTTAACAAACAATATTCTTACTACTAGACACACATACGCTCAAACACGCATACTAACCAAAAAAGTACTTGATAAAACAAAACAATTGTTCAGAGACAAACAAACTCGATACACACTAAAGTAATGTAAATTAAATAATTGTATTTAAAATATATTTAAGATTTACATATAATTGTGAATATATTTAAGCATAAAAAGATACCAAAAAACACAAAACTTATCGCCGATACGCCTTCAGCCGGGAGTCTGTGGTTACGAGTCATTCACAAAAGTCGTTATATATTTAGTAACAAAAATCTGTCACAGAATATGTGGATATCAGTGAAAACAAACATACAGAAAATTAATAAAATTGTAATTATACATATTGTATGTAACTGTATAGTTGAGAATACGGTACAGTCTATATACGGTATATATTCTATTGGATATTATATTATATATAAATTATATTATATAAGGATATAATGGCAGCTCTTTGTAAACTCTTTTTGTAATGTTATTAAAAACTAATTATTGTTATAAATGTTATAATGAATATCGTATTTAAATATTATATATAAAACAAAAAACACGTGTATGATATGATATTAATAATTGTATCGAGACAAAAAATAATTAGTAATAATACTAATGAAGTGTATTAATATTTTATTTGCCAATGTCTAAATGGGTTATTAATTTTAAGTATAATTAATCATCTATGTTTAATTCATTTAAAATATTTAATTTATTTATACAGCGTATTATATTTAAATTTTACTAGTTTGTTGCTTAATTGTGATTACAATTATGATTATAAAAACAAATACAGCCAAGCTAAGTTAAATGGTATTTAAACATTGTAAGAGGTGCTTATTTTTGCGAGCTTATTAAAACAACAACTGTTACAGATTTAATAACTTCTAGATAACTAAAAATTGTTCAAGCGAAAATACATATTAACAGTTAATACAAATTTATATGATTATTATTAAAACTAAACTTGTTATTTGTTTAAACTTTAAAAATTGTATTATTATTATAAATATTATTAAATGAAAAATGTTTTGTAGTTTTATGTGAATCTTGTAAACATTTATTTAAACAGCATTATCAATTTACTAAAATATGATTATCATTATATTAATATAATATGAATCAAAATAATTTTTACAGAATGTGTCAATGATCCTGGACAAAACATTAGTAAGTACTAATTAAACAAATATTTTAATAATCATGTTTAATGTATACAGTATATACAGTATTACAATGTAATAATAATTTAAAACAAACAATATTACAACTAGCAAGCATGATCATATCAAACAATATTATTGTACATAGCTCACATATTAGACACTACCCCGGGTTCCGGTTGTGTAGTGTGTTTATCCCACTCCTGTTGCTGTGCCGACCCAAACACGATGAATACCAGTCCCCCGAAGGCGTTAATGGCGGCCGACATCCAGAACACGTACCCCCACTGGCGCCGCACCTCATCGGACGCCTGTACTATCAAACCGATAACCATAGGGGTTATGAAACCCGCCGTAAACGCCACGGTGTTTGTGATGCCGAATACGGTGGCCGAGTACTTGTTGGTCATATCTTGGTCATTTAGGGTAAGTTTTAAATTATTAGTCAAATGGTGTATTAATTTTATTAAAGTAATAATGAATTTATGTGATTACCGGCCACTACGGGAACATCACCACCGGAATAGCACCCGAACAAAAACATTCCCTATGTATGTGTAAAATAGATTTATTATTGACCAAGGTAATTAGAGGGGTAATAGTTGATAAACTGTACAAGCGCTTACAATTAATAGCAATGCGATTACCAGAGTATCATTACATTGAGCTAATGGTATGACCGCTAAACATATAGCGGATCCAAAAGTAGCTGAAAAATCAGATTTAAAATTATAGTAATTATTGTGAATAAACATATTGTATATCATTAAGAGTAAGTTAAAACTTTTCACTTAATGTTTTCAACAGTATCATTTAATTTTTTGAATAGTACTTGTATACTGTATACTCACATAATGTTTCAAATATTTTTCTCAAAAGCGTTTTATTAATGATTTCTTTGCGAACCAAAAAGTCGGCAAAAATGCCGGCAATAAATAGACTACAAATAAAAATGTAAAATAATGTATTAAAGAATTTGTTTAATAATAATTATGAAATGATAATCAACACATACCTAATAGTGTACACACCGTAGACTATAGCTACTATCATCCCATTCTGTAATGCAATAAATTATTTTATTATTTATATAAACAGGTAGATTAATGGACATGACCATGAACATAGTGGCACATACCTTGGACACTGGGTATTTAAATACTGATGAAAAGTACGATGGTAATTTCAACAACAGTAATATACAATTCCAGTTCACTGTAAACTTAACTACAACCACCGCTATCACGGGTATAGATGTAAATATTTTCATCCAGGGAACGGGAGGTTTAGTGCTACCCTTCCCACTGGATGCTATATTAGCCTGGATATAATGTAGTTCCTCTCTGGCTATCCAGGGGTGGTCTTTGGGTTCGCTTCGCACCAGTATTACCCATAATACGAGCCAAACGGTGGCCAAAATTGCTACATAAATAGCAAATAGCTATTACTCCGACATTTACATACAGTTCCCTTAATTTATAGCATACCTGAGACATAGAAAACTGATGGCCAGCCCCCTGCGAATCCGTGTTCAGACAAATACCCTGATAACGCTGTCGTGGCTACCGATCCGATGTTGGCGCCCACGTATGGTATGGCCAGACACGTGCTGTTAGTAATAACTTAATGTTTACTTTCACTCATAAATAACCCTGATATCAATCAGTGGTAACATACCTGCGCTCACTATCCGGCGCCCACTTTGAAAACAAGGCATAAATGGACGGAAACACAAAACTCTGAAACACACCCAACACTACACGACTGGCCAGTAGTAGCCAATACTGGCCCGACCTGGCAATGATCGGGGTCAGTGCGTTCACCACAATAGACACGGCTATACCCCCACCGCACAGCCATTTAGCACCAAACATCTCGGACAGCCTACCGCCGACCACTTGAAACAGTATATATCCGTAGAAAAATGTGCCCAAAATCATACCCTGGGTCTTTTCATCCCAATCAAACTCCCCGGTGGGCTCTGTGTGCGGGGACTGGTAGGCAGTGGTGCTGTTGGTTGAATTGTTTGGGTCAGTGGTGTAGGCATTGGTATCGCAGACATCACTACCCGATGAGTGACTGGTTTTGTTGAACCGACTCATGGCTACGATGGCTATACTTAGGTTTATACGACACATGTATAGGTTGAGGGTTGCAAACAGTACCAGCCCGGCCACCACGTACCGCATCGGGATGTATAGTAGGTGTTTGGATCGCATAGTAATTAGTGGGTTAATATTTTTGTATATTTTAACTTGAACACTTGGTGTTATTAGTTTTAAATGTAGTCACAAGAGTATTATGTTAGTGATACTTAACACTAGACGATCGAGATCATTTTTTGTATATTTTAAATACAGTACTATATAATGTAATTTCTACACAATTATAACATTTTAATGTATTTATTATGCTGAACATTTTTAACAAAATAGTTTTCAAACATGTATTTCCTATTGTGATAACTTGTTACTAGAAAATGTCATTTCAGTAGCCGTTATACTAATAGCTAAATAGCAGTATTTGTGTCATTATTACGTGTTTTGTCGGACGACCTCTAATACTGTTCCGCATATAATATACTGTAATATAAATAATATACAGAATAAGCGAAAAAATTTTTGTAATTGTTTTAATTAGACACTAGTATTAGACATCAGTTTTCATAATCCTTAATATCAATATAAGTCTCATAATTGTGTACAATGTTATAAAGTATAATGTTATATCATTATAAATACTATATTTTCAGGTTATGGTTACGAATAATATTGATGTCATTAAACAGTTAATAGGAATTAATTATATAATAATTTTTGGTTTTATGGTAAATATTCAATTACTTGTTTTAATAATCGCTTACTAGTTGAAAAGTCAATGATGCTAATTGAATATTATTTAAATTGATTATGTCATTTAATGCCTGTAAATAGTTACAGTATTTATCATATGAAAATTCATATTAAATATCAAAATAGCAAATTATTTATAAAAAAAATTTATTACAAGTATTAGCACTAAGTTATAAAAATTTAACAAATTGTATAAATTTATAATTTTTTTTATTAATAGCTTTTGAGACAAACAGACAAAACATTACTTCTACGACATGAATGACAACCGCTATTATAATCTTTGACTCACCCGAAGAAGTGGTTTTTTTGAGCCATCGATGGATCACTTTTAATGAGCTCTATATAAACTGTGATCAGTTATAAACCAACTATTTCTTTCCTTAATTAAAAATACTAAATATTAAGCAATTTTAACAAAAAGTATACCAAAATGTTCAGGGATAATGAAATTTTTATTTCTGTATTAAAGAATAGCCATGTTATTTACCTTGATTATAAATAGTGAGTAAACGTACGAACACGCGTTTCGAGTACACATAAAATGCATGATTCCTAACAGTGCTATGAATGGAAGCATTGATTCAATTGTTGCGGACTTTCACTGCTTTGCATTCGAGAGCACTGTTAAGGACCAGTGATTTTAGGTATTCACTCGAAACGCGTTTTCGCACGTTTACTCGCTATTTATAATAAAGGTAAATAACATGGCTATTCTTTAATACAGAAATAAAAATATCATTATCCCTGAACATTTTGGTATACTTTTTGTTAAAATTGCTTAATATTTAGTATTTTTAATTAAGGAAAGAAATAGTTGGTTTATAATGGATCACAGTTTATATTAAGACACCGATAATGACCGCTATTATCATACAAACCACGAGAAGTCCTAAAATAACGGCAATAACCAGTGGTTTTGACTCTTTTTCCACTTTATGCGTCTCATCCGTGTCTTCATTATATCCGCAATCAATGTCCAACCATTTGGCGATAGTCTGTGGCAGACAATCATCGCTCCAGACTTCTGTGGTCTTATTGATCCAACAGATCCTATTGCCGGCCATTAAGTAGAAGTACTGCGAGTATAGGAAACCAGCGGTCGTTTGTCTCAAGTAATCCAATATATCGTTAATGATATGCACTTTGAATGCATTTTTAATTATGTTTTGCTGAATGTATGCTATTTATCATCCCGTTCCTCCCGTCCCACTATTCATAACCGATGCTCAACCTCTTGATTGAAAGCCTCGATTCCCTCCATCCGTCGCCTAAAACACTGACTCAAGTGGTTGTGATACCCGGTATCCATGTGGTGGACAGTCTCCCTGTACTCTAAAATATATGCCTCCCTGTCCGCAATGTCCACTCCAATAGGTCCGTTCAGTGACTCGAAGATTAT